AGACTGACTGGGTTTTCCACAGACCCAAAAAGTCCCCAGAAGCCATTGGCCCTCCTCTGTGGAGGGAGTGGCTGGGAGTGAGCGTTCCATTCACACACATAGCCCCTCTGGCTACTCTCAGCGTTTCGACGCCCGACGACCTTGCCCCAGTGCCAAGAAGAGATCTGTGAAGCTGAACAGTCTGAGATCCTGCCTCCTCCCCTGCCACTTCCATCTAACTGAGCAACATGCCATGGTAGACAGACTCACGCTAACCAATACCTGGTACTTTTCTACTTTGGGGTACACATAGGATGCCACGTCTCTGTACCTTAAAGGGAGGCACAGAGCCACATGACTGGTTATAGCCATGAAAAGTAAATGGGAGGGACATGGGTCACTTCCAAGCCTATGCATTTCATTTCTGGTGTCCTACCCTCCAACACCCTTTTCTCTGAGCCCTTGTTTATTGATGGTGGCCACATAGGATTATCAGGTCATCCTGATAGGAGGCTGAGGTCTACTTCCATCCATGGATCCACCCCCATTGTGTCTCCATGTCTGTTTCTCCTTTGTTAAGTAGGAGAAACACCTATTTCCAACCCTGGCACCCATGTCAAAACAATCCAACAGATGGTCTCCATGAGTTCTCTTTTGAAAATGTTCTCAAGTAGCTATGATGAGCTGTCGTGGTCTGACACAGCTGACCAATGACAATGATACAGCATGAGCCAGAGAAACTTGTGTCGTATTAAGCTACCGAGATGTTTTAGGTTGTCTATACCTTGGACTGATAGGCACAGCAATCAAAGACAAGAATTAGGACATCGTATTCGTTTTCTATTGCTGTGTAGAAATCCCACAAACTTAGTGACTTAAAATAACACCCATTCATTAGTCATTCTGCCATGGGTCAGATGTTTGGTCTCAACTTGGAAGAAGTGTCTGCTGAGTGTGTAACGGACTATCAAAGCCCAAGGTTCTGTTCCATGTGTCTATTGGTAGAAGTCAGTTCCTTGTGATTGTATAAACTGGGGTCCCCACTTTCTTGCTGGCTGTCAGCCAAAGCCACTCTCAGCAGCTGGAGGCTGCCCCCTGCTTCCTGCCCTGTGGCCATTTCCACAACAAGACCGTTTGTTTTTTCAAAGCCAATGAGCAACATCAGATGTTGCTTCGTGTCTCTCTGACCTCTAGACCTTTTTTTTTAAAGAGCCCACCTGGTTGTGTCAGGCACACTCAGGAAAATTCCTTTTGATTAACTTCAAGTCAACTTGTCAGGGTCCTAAATTATACCTGCAACTGTGGTATAAGGCAAATCTAATCATGAGGGTGATACCCCATCACATTCATATAGTGCACCTTCATTCGGGGGAGGGGGAGTTATATAAGGACATGGATAGTGGGGGTCATCTTAGAATTCTGCCTACCACAGACATTTAAAAAAAAAAAACATTCTGATGAATATTAGCTCTAGAAAATCCAGGACCCTTCCAATGCTTTACATTTACTTCTTCCTTGCTCCCAAGTAATGAAACCTTGGCCCAAATATTCTGAAGCCCTGCTACTCAAAGTGTGGTCCATGGACCAGCAGCATCACTTGTGAAGAAATGCAAAATCTCAGGCTCCACCTCAGACTTAGGCATTGGAATTACGGGCATATCAACAAGATTTCTAGGCAGGTGAGAAGCTTTGGTCTTTAGATTGGCTTATTCTTACATAGAGTAGTCAGATGCCTACGTGGAGTGAGAACAGATATTATACTAAATCCCTGTGCCCTGATCACTGCAGCCCCTCAGTGTGGTTTCTGAAATTGTGCTGTCAGAATCGTATAATCTGATGATGATGATATTGAAGATGGTGATGCTAGCTAACATTTACTGAACATCAATAAATGCCAGGCAGTAGGCAAAAGTTTCCTTTAATTTCCCCAACAATGTGTTATTATTTTCATTTTAGAGATGAAGACATTGGGGCTTACGGGAGTTAAGTAACTCCTCTAAAGAAATACAAATAAAAGTGGGGGGAGGGCCAGGATTTGCCCTTCATCCCTTTCACTCGGAGGGTATGTGATCATATTGTCAGAAGCTGTCAAAGCCAGTCCGCAAATCACGAACTGGGACCTGGGCCAATTCAGCTTGTGAGTACGCATTATTCCACCAGAATGTTAATGTTAGTCTTCACTGAATGTCTTTCCCAAGAGACAAGCTCATTCCAGTTGGCCACTGGCCTTATCACTCATAGCTTCACAGATTTGACTTACTGCCTGGTCCCCGAGTACACTCAAGTTTGAAATCCCCAATGAAGTCCATGTATTCTTAAATTTCCCCTTGACGTTTCATGAAAACTTTGGGTGGTATGAACACTTTCCAGAGATCCTTGACAATAGCAAAGAACCTCTGCTCCCTACCCCATCCCTGTCATCTGATGAGTGAAACCAACATCCAGAAGCTAAGTTACTGGTTTTAAGATAATTGGTTTTAAGTTGGACTCTTTTGGCCCACAATCAAATGCCATAATCATTCACCTCCTTGTGTTTCGGAAATTGTTTATGCTTAATATGAAACAGAGGTTCTTAACCAAAGTGTGTTTCAGAAACGTTTGCAAGGAGTTTAATACAGATTCTCAAACTTCTCTCCTGTTCACGCTACTGGTGACTAAAATGCCCATTTATCTGAAATTCATCAGATAAATTACAGGTTCAGAACACAGGGTTTGAAGGAAGAAGGAGTCCCTGAAGAGTTAATAAAAGGTAGGACAGTAAGGAGTGTAAGAGATGGAATAGTGCAGTGGATCTCAGCCTTGGTTATACATCAGAACTGCCTGAAGGCTTTAAACACTACTAAAGCCCAGGTCCCAGCCCCCAACATTAATGATGTAATTGGTCCCAGGTACAGGGATTTTTAAGAGCTCCCCAGGTGATGGTAATACTCAGCCAGGGCTGAGAGCCACTGGAGCAGGGACTCTGAGATGCTAGAGGATCATCAACTCCACCACTGTTTCTCTTGTGGCCCCACTGGATTTGGCCCATCAGCCGGCCACAGAGGCTTCCATGTTCCCTTCATCTTTTTGCTGCCCTTTGCCACCCTCTTCCCTCCTATGTTAAGCAATGTTCCTTCGTAAGCGGAGAACAAAACTGGTAGGAGCCTGAGGTCAAGTTCCAGACACTGAGATACTTATTATTCCCACTGTGCCTATTTGTCCATCTGTTACATAGAACTCTCCTATTTAAGACCTCCAGCCTCTAGCACTCATGTCAAACCCGGCAGGTCCCTGTGAGTTCTGTTTTGAAAATGGCCTCAAAACGTTCTTGTCCTAAAACAACTCCCTGGTCAGTTTGCCACTGGATGTAAAACCTCTTGTTATCGCCTAAGCAAGTGGTTCTCAAAGTGTGGTCCCCAGACCAGCAGCGTCAGCATCACCTGGGACCCTCTCCCTCGGACACCCTGCATGCAAGTACTGAATCAAAATCTGAGTGGATCCAGCAGTCTGCTTACTAAGCCTCAGGGGTGCTAGTGCACCCTCAAGGTTGAAAAGCACTGACCAAAGCCACTGCCATGACCATGTGCCCCTGTCTGGACACCTGGTAATGGTAACAGAAAAAGACAACTTGAACACATACGACTCGAGGTTTGTCACTTGGGTTTTCATGTGACACTGACTCTGTTAACCCCAGGGGAGGGGAGGAGGGACGGGGTCTGAGGGTCTTGATCACACAGGGGTTTGTTGTGTAACAGCTGGGGTGTGAGGTCCGGCAGGGGCCAGAAGGTTGAGGGGACACCTGCTGGTAGGGCCTGGGAGGTGCTCCCAGGCAGCTGGGAACAAATAGGGCAGAGACTGTCCTCCCAGCTCCTCTGACCTTATCCAAGCTTCCTGCTGGCTTTTTAGGGTAACCAAAGAGGCTAAAGATGCAATGGAACTGGACAAAACTAATGAGATATGAGAGAAGGTGCTCTTTCTGTTTTGCATGTGGTGATATCGCACTGAGCCGGTAGGAAGGGGCCCACTGCCCTCTTGGGATGGCAGAGCTCAGAGAGACGGGCCAGGGCAAGAGTGAGCTTGGTGGGGCGGGGTGAACTGCAGAGACGGAAGCCGGCAGCATCCCCCAAACAGCTAGGAGGGCCTTGCAAAGTCAAGTCACTCAACTGCCTATTTACAGAAGAGGAAACCCAGACAGAGAGGAGCCTTGACCTGGATCACAGCACATCAGTGGCAGAGCTGGGGGCCATGAGGTAGGGGGCTCCTGAGGGAGCTGGGGTTCCACGAGGAGCAAAGGACTACCAAGGAGCGATTCAAGAGAGAGTGCCAAAGAGTGAGAGCCAACGTTTCGGCCGCACCCACGGTGTGCCAGGCTACTCCAAGTGCCTTACGTGATTCATACACATTTACTTTTCCCACCACCTTATGATCCTCCCCACTGAGTTCACTATTTACAGATGGGGACACCGAGAGGTTAAAAATAAATTGTGCAATTTATTTAATTATAATTGAGGATAAAAAGCAACTTTATTTTAAAAAATTGTACCCAGTGTTATTATTTCACAAGAATGAAGCAAGGGATGAAGGTAAGCTTAATGCTTCCTGGCTTTCCATTACTGGCAAGCTGCTGGCCACTGGGTAGATGATCTCTGTTCAAATGGTACCCCTTATTCACTAGAGTATAGAATTTTTTAAAGACAGTTATGATATGGACACACACGTGACATCATACACAGCTAGGAAGAGGCAAAGTCAGAACTTGAACACAGACCCTTTAGTCCCACGGCTCACACTTTCCCACCATGATCTGCTTGCTACTCCTCCAAGACAACCCGGAGCACTGGCGCTCAGCCAGCTCTGAAAGCTCGAGTGTTAGAAAAGTTATACCTACTTTTAAAAAGAAAACATGCCATACCGGAAAACCCCCTGACCTTCCAAAGAAGAAAGCCTCTAAATTCAGGGTAAGCCTCACAGGCACAGCCTATCCCAAGGTGACCTTTTTGCAGCTATGAATCTCCTTTAATTGGATCCCACAGCATTTTTACCTGTCACTTCGAATCATAGAAGATCCTCAGAAATCCTCTGATCCAGCCCGTTTTTGACAGAGACACTGAAGCCCAAGAAGGTCAGGGTCACCTTCCAACAAACAAAGGTTGAAGAGATGAGGAATGCCACCCAGCGAAGGCACCCAAGGTCCAGAGACATCAGGAAAGCCACGTGAAGCTCCATCCTGAAATGGAACCCAAGGGTCCTAACCCCCAGATTTCTCTCCTTCTCTCTCTCTCTCCCCCTCATTCTGTAATTCCCTCTCTCTCATTCTCTCTCTCTCTCTCTCTCTCTCTCTCATTCCCTCTCTCTCTCATTTTCTCTCTCTCTCAAAAGTCTCTTACCTGCAGCCCTGCATTCTTCGACCTTGTTGCTTCTCGCCTGGGGAAGGCTGCCAGGCCCAACTTTTACCTTCAGTGGAAACTCGGCAGTCCAGGCCGGGATTTATACCCCCGTCCTCCAGGGATTTCCTAATAGGGCTTGTGTCACTCTCTCTGACTGAGTGGCTGTGGACACACCTTTTCCCTCCTCATAGGGGAGCACCCTCCAGGGGACGGCACTAGGTGCATGATCACTCAGATGGGGAAGTGGCCAAGGAAACTGTGCGTAAGTTTCCCTATTTTTTCTGTGACTCGCTAAAACTTCCGTGCTTCAGCTGAGAGATGGTTTTAAAGTGATGTCTATTTTGCTGGCCCTGGCCCCATCAAAGAGGAAAGGAGGTCTTGGAGTCTTTAGCCAGTGGGACGGTTGATGTTCGCCTCCACAGAACATCCCTTCGGGAATAGGAGGGAAGTTAAGCTTTGAGTCCCCCGGTTTCCAGTCTTATATGATGTTTAATTGTTAAGTGAAGGAAGGGGGTGACTCTCCAAGTCTTTATTATCACTTGTGGGATTTGCCGAACTGAATAGTTTGTCCTCTGGAAATAGAACTTCGGTCCTAGGTCATGTCGTTACAAAACACACGTCTCCTCACTCCCCCTGAGAGGCCCAGAGGTTGTGTTGATGTCTCCTCTGTCCCCCTCGGCAGTCACCAGGTGGCCAGGCGTTAGAGAGGAGGGAGCCGAGGGGGTGAGCCTGACCCGAGGCTGCCGCAGGAGCTTGCCCAGAGCCCACTGGGACCCCATGCAAGTCCTCAGATGCACAGAGCCAACGGCAGCCCTCCCCCTACTGGATTCACTGCCCTTGCTGTCCGCCCAGACAGGCTTGTGCGACAACCCCCAGCTCCAGTGCCCTCCTTGATATGAACAGGAAGCCACGTGGGAGAGGATAAGAACTTGACCAGGACCAGGGCATGCGACTGCGACGTGAACCCTCTGGGTCCCCGTGTCTTGTTGGGCCATGGCATGGTGCAGGCAGAGGTGTGTATGGATCCCCCTGCTGGTGGATGGAAAAGAACACTCATCCAAATGTCCTTTAAAATCCATGTTCCTAACCTTAATGACACTTTCCGTCTAATTGACTCAGATACTGGGGTTCTTCCAGGTGAAAAGGCAGAGAAATGTTTAGAGACAAGTCTTAGGACTTTCATATCCAAAACAAAGGGCTCAAAGTTGAAAGAGCCCACGGGCCCTAGCTTTATCCTTTTTGCTAACAAGGAAGAGAACTCCCAGGGAATCATAGCTCAGATTGGGTCAACAAAATCTGAGAAAAATACAATGTTGGACCTAGATGGAAACTTAGAGGTGGGCACAAATTGAGGTCCAGCTATGTGTACTGAGCTGTACTGACTTATGTGACTTCGGGATGGAAGCCATTAATACCCCCAGAGTGGAGTCTGTTGGCCAAAGGGTAAATGTTACACTGTATCCATGTTTATTCTTTCTCCAAAGACCAGTTGAAGGGGGAATATCTGGTTTTGTTCCAAAATTTTGACGTGGTTCGATTGAAGTTCGAGCTATAAATTTTGGGTCAAGCCGAGTAACGTCAAGGGTGTAAATTCGCCCCCAAATACCTCATCATCCCGGGATGAAGGGTATGCAAATAACTGAGTCCTGTTCTTGCTCGCTCTGTGGTCAAGCAAACACACCAGCCCTAGGTAACCTTCCCTTGGCTGGGATCATGTTCGCTAGATAGCGCAAGGAAGCCCACAGCTTAATATAGCCAAGAGAGGAAGTGAAACCATGCAGTCTGCTGTTGGCCGTATTGAAGTATAACTGCTGATCTTGTGATCCATAAAGAGGAATTTACAGAACCTCACTTCTTCAATGGGAAAATGCGATCGTGAAGCCGCAAGAACTGCTTGAATGGCCCTTTCCAGAACCAATGCCTCAGACCCCACCCGTCACCAGAAGCGCTCACGGAACAATGGCTGCCCTCCCCACGCTCCTCCATGTCCTCTCCATCTCCATGGTCTGCACTGTCCTCTCCTCACTATCACCAGAGTGTTTGGTTCCATTTCTCCACCAACTGATGGGAAATGGACAAGGCACAGAATGTTCTGAAGTATCTCGAAATCCTCTGAGGTTTGAGGTGAAAGTAACCCAGGATGTTTATTGCAAGGATTGAAGCAATGAGTCTTCATTTTTTGAACCCAGGCCTTTCCCAAGTCTATTTTGGGTCAGAAATCAACAGCATCTTCTGAAAACCTCTGTGGCAAGGTTCCAACCCCCTTTCCTCCCCTGTGATGTGGAGGGTAAGGAACCGTGAGAAGGGAGCTTGGAGGAACAAAGAGCCTGTGTTGGCCACTACATCATGGTTTATAACAGACTATTTGTCCCTGGTTTGCTGGGACAGCCTCTGCCAAATTATCCAGCCAAATTCACTCATTCCTATCACGTGAGAGTCCTTCATGTGGATTCAAGAAAATATGGTTCTCAAACCCATAGGATCCATGTAGCAATCAGACCCCATAAAATTAAAATCCCAAGGCCTGTTCTGGTCAGCGGGCCAATAAGAGAAAAAAACTCTCGTGTCTTAGAGGCAGGGGAAACGTCACCCCGTCCCCATACATAATTAACAAATTCACAAACCACACCTGAAAATATTGACTGCCCATGGGCTTCAGTCTCATCTGCGAGAAGAGAGAGCTGAGGTAAACGAGGTCTGTATCAGTTTCCTGTCGCTGCGGTCACAAATTACCTCCAATAGTGGCTTCATCCAACACCCACTAACTCGCTTACAATTCTGGAAGAACTGACATGGGTCCGACATGGTCTCCGTGGCCTGAAATCAAGATGTTGGCGATGCCGAGCTCCTTCTGAAGGTTCCCAGGGAAAATGCACTTCTAGAGGTTGTCCTCGTTTGTTCACGGTGGCCTCCAGCACATCTCCTTTCTCCCTCTGCTCCCATCACCACGTGGCCTTCTTCTTCCTTTGAGCTCCTTGCTCCCCCTTAGGAGGACGCTGGTGGTTATATTCGGGGCCCACCCAAATAAGCCAGGATAATCTCCCCACCTGAAACTTCTTACCTGAATCACATCTGTAAAAGCCCTTTTGCCGTAGAAGGTCACATAATCGTAGGCGCCAGGAATTCGGACCTGGGCACAGTCAGGGGACCATCGTTGAGTGGCACATGAGCTCAGAGATTGCTTCCAGTTTTCAAAGTCTGTGCTCTATGATTGCAAACCAAAGCCTAGAAAAGCAATCTACATGACTGTGGATTGGAACACCACCATTTCCTTCACACCGAAGGGCTGAGCAGGCCTAGCAAGTGTAGGCAGAGTCTGCATAGAGCTTTTGAGATCTACAGGAGAGGTGGTACTTTGCAGTTCAATTCAGAGAAAATCCAACCTTCGTTTTGGAAAGGCTTTTTCTTGCCAGCCTTCCCTTCTGCCTCTTTCTCCCTGCCCTGCTTTCCAGAGAGGCCCTGGCAAGGGACAAGAATGTGCCCACTCTCCCTGCAACCTGCTTGCAGGGCCCAGAGCATGGGGGAAGGGGAGCCGGACACAGTCCCATTTCAGGCTAACTCTCTTTTTCAATGATGCCCAGGCCCGATCCAGAGCCCACCAGCCCCCCACTCCCCTGTTCCTCCACCCACACAGCCAAGCCTTGCCCTGCGGTGCGGCTGGCTCCAGAGGCACCAGGCAGGCCCCACCTGCTCTGACTTGAGGCCCAGTCTCTCCCCTGCATGTAATGGATGCCCCTGCTTCCTGCCTTGCCCTTCCACCTTCTGGGCCCAAGACACACCGGTGCCGGGGACGTGGCCTGCCCAGGAGAAAAACCTAGAAGCCCTCCATCCAGAGCACTGATGGGCTCCTCACAGAGGTGGAGCCACATTCTCCGCTCTACAGGAGGGGTGAACAAAAAATTATTTTCCTTAGAACCGGAAAGAGGGACAATTTCCTTATGATATCTGATCTCTATAATAAGCCACGCAATGTTCATCCATGTGAGAGAGTCAGCTCAAGGCCCCCCACCAAGAGTAGGCAGGACTTGGCCTGCCAGTGGTCCAGGCTGTTTTCTGATCAGGTCTAGACGGAAAGAGAAGAACCCAAATCGTGATCCCACAGACACGACCAGGCACAACATCGTCCTGATGCACCTGGGGCAGAGAGACGCTGCCCTCCTGGACACCTGGTGTGCTGCTTTTCTGCCCCTTGCCAAAGCAGGGCTCCAGACCAAAGCCTCCAAGTCACGACCAGCTGCTGGGCTCGCCAGGACGAGAGCTGGTGTGGATTTACCCCCACCGGGCTTAGCAGCAGGGGGCGGTAGAAAAACCATCAGACAGCAACTTTGGGATCCCAACCAGAACCTAGCACCAGAGCCCACCCTCAGCGGTCCACCCACCTCTCGGGGGCCACCCCAGCACCACCTCCTCATCTTTCCTGCCTCCAGGCCTCCCACTGCCCACTGACCCCAGAAGCTTGTTCTCATTCACTTCCTCCACTCCTGTTACAAGACTTACCAAATTGACTTTACATTCACAAGAAGGGCGGTTTAAAAATGGTCTCTATGCTAGGACTCTTAGGGTGTGTGTGTGTGTGTGTGTGTGTGTGTGTGTGTGTGTGTGTTGGGTTTGTGGGGTTGGGGTTCTCTTTAATGAAGCGCAGCCCTTTATCCGAGCTTCCCCAGGGCCAGGCCAGCCTCCCACAGCCCGGCGTAACCAATAATCACTACTTCTGGTGCCTGACCCGGCTCCAGCCGGCAAGCAGAGAGACCTTGCAACAAATCTGAAAAACTTCAAAAGAAGCTCTCAGTATATTAAAGCTCAAAGATCCAGGCCCAAACTGAGTAACAGGCATCATCAGTATGTATGAAATGTTTACATTTTTAAAATAAGTGCTGGACGACTCACACAAACCTCAAAGGCAATATATGGAACACACTGGGAGACACAACTTCCACCGTCACCCTCCCTGGCCTTTGGTGACTGCGAGTCTTGGGTCACACAGCCTTTCTGGTCACTCATACCCCCCACCCCCGAACTGCCTGCCCCAATATCGCCCCAGCTGCCAAAATAGCTGCCAGTTTCTGGGCAGCTCTTTTCATGAATCAGGAGACCTCTCTCTGCCTTCTAATCAGCTCTCAGTAACCTATTGAACATTTTGCTTTGCTCAGCTGACAGCCGGGCCCCACACTTCTGGAAAGCAG